GTTCTTGTCGTTTTTGTGAATAAATTGATTTAAAGTCCCCACAAGTGTTTCAATACGTAAAGTTCGTTCGTGTGTGTTTGTGAGTATTTCCCGATTTCGGTTCGTATATATTTTATTGTTACATTTTATATTTTTTTAATAACACTGTTCTGCTGTATTAAATTTTTATTTCCTTTAATATAATTTTTATGAATGCATATTCTTTTGGCAATTATCCCACTAGCGCGCCTCTGGCTCAGTATTTATCCGTCGATAACAATGGACAAATCCCTTAAAACAGGGTGATACCTACCTGCTCTTTATGAAACGACATAATTTTGCAATGCGGACTAGGGAAGTGACAGAATTTATTGACGGATCACCCTGTAGCGCTTTTGAATACTTAATGAGATTTTATTACTCTACACTCTTTTGAAATAGACTATATATGAGAAATATATGAAACTAAATGTCTCCACTGTTCACTTGTCTATCAATGCTTTCCTGAATTGCAATTGTAATAAATATTGTTAGTGAATGAATCGTAGATTAAATCACATATGTTCGAATGATGATAGAAATTGCTTCGGTTTTGTGAGTTGTTTGTTTATTTTTTCAGCAACATATCCCAAGTAGATGATACTTATATTGCCTTACATCAAGATTCAGAAATAAAAAAAAATAAAAAAAATCAGTCTCTTGAAGAAAAGTTTCCCTGGATCGCGACTGAAAGTTAAATTTATCAGAAAAAGCATACATTCTGTTAGCTGGCAATATTGAGAACTCGAGTGTTTCAGGGGGTGATAGAAAAAAATGGGTTCAGTTGAAGAAAAATGGTCTCAATTATATAGATACCTCAATTACTATACTTCCAAATGAATCAATTTATCCTCATGACACGATTCATACAGTATGTGACAACGAAAACAAAAGAGATCTTCAACAGTTCGATTTTTAATTGAAATAGGACATCTCTCTATGTTGAGACTGTCTGTCTCACCAGTAAAGAGGGAGGTATCACAACCCCGCAGAAGTTTCAGTGCTAATAACGTAAATAGTTTCATTCAATCATTAGAGAGAGGGTATTGGAATGACGTGACAATTTTTCCAATGTCGAAGACGCATATGATACTTTCAACGACATGTTTGTTTATCACTTCAACAGTTGTTTTCGCTCAGAAGGCAATATGGTTCAAAAAGTTCCGTGAATTGTGAATTGATGATAATGTTAGGAAGTCGAGCATCAAACTGAATGATTCATTTCTGGTGAACGTCCTGAACGAAGCTTATTCAGCTGCAAAGAAGCAACATGAATTGTTATTAGCAGAAACTGAGCGCTTCTACTACCAAAGTACAATGTAATGCAAACAATCGTGCAAAAATGGCTTGGAATGTAGTATCTGATTTGACTAATCGTACGAGAAAACTTTCCGTTAATAAAATCTCCATTTCGCATGAAAATGAATATGTTGAAGACCCAGAGAGAATCAGTAATTTATTTAATGAATTTTTCATAAACATGCCAATCAAACTTCTCACACATAGGCCTCAAAGTACAGCTCAACTTCCGGACCCTGAAATAATTGGGTTCAATGAATTCCTGTTTCTCGCACCCTTTTCAGAACCTGAATTATTACAATTAATTTGGAATGAATTGAAGATTAAAGCCGCGTCAGGGCCAGATGAGATTCCGTCAGTTATTTTGAAGAAAGTGTTATGTCATATTATTTCGCCTTTATCTTATCTAGTTTCACTTGTGGATGTTTTCCATCTTTATTGAAAATCGGCAAAGTCATCCCAGTATACAAAAAGCAAAATCCAGCAAATCTTGAAAATTATAGGCCCATTACTGTCACATCTTGTTTTCTAAGGTTTTTGAATATTCTTAACTCCAAAGACTTATGAATTTTGCATTAAGTCATAACATCTTCTCAGATAATTAACATGGTTTCAGAAAACCATGTTTTCTGCAAGGACGCTCATCTCAGAGTGCGGTGTTGTCATTTTATGAAAAATTGATCAAAGCAATCGAATCAGGTGAGTGCCCTGTTGGGATCTTCTGTGATCAGAGCAGGGCCTTTGACTGCGGTCAGCATGAGGTACCCTTGTAAAAATTGCACAAAAATGGTATTCGCGGAGTTTCACTCGACTGGATACGGAGTTTCTTGACCCACAGAAAACAATTTATTAGTAACTATATCTTCCACTGAATTTGCATATAACAATATCTCTATGGGCGTTCCCCAAGGCTCTGTTTTCGGGCCAATTTCATTTTTATTTTACACGAATGACGTGGATAATATCGAATCTTCTGCCAGCTTCTGCCAGATATGCAGATGACATGAATATATTTGTCTCTGACGAAAGTGAAAATACCTTGAAACAAAAGAGCACAACTGTGGTCGGTAACCTCATTTCGTGATGTGATCAAAAGTGTCTCTATTTCGATAGTAATAAGACAAATATAATTCGCTTCCACAACTACCAAAAACAATGGAAACTAATAATAAAAACTGATGAAATCTTGATTGAGCCTACTTTATCAGTTAAATTTATTGGAATTACTGTAGACGCTGGTTCAAACTGAAAAGAACATTGAACCAACTTGATCTCAGAATTGAACTTATTATGTTTTATGTTCCGAAATCTTAAGAACATTTTGTTACGTGAACAATTATTCATATTATATCACGCACAAGTAGCCTCCCGATTACGATACGGCATATGTTTCTGGGGTGTTTCCACTCGAGCACCAGACGTATTCATTACACAAAAACGCATTTTAAAAATTATTTGCGATACCCCAAGCAAAGCATCCTGTAGACCGATTCTCAAAGAATCGAAAATTTTAACAATGACAAGTATTCTAATTTTAGAAATGTGTGTATACCTATACACAAATGAAAATAAGTTAACTAGAATCCAACAAGTCCATAGTTATAATACAAGGAATTGCGCTGATTTCCACATTCCCTACTGTAAATATGTTGTATCTTCGAAATCTTCTGAATATTCGAGTCTGAGGATTTTTTAATAAACTGCTTGAAAAAATAGGTAGTTCCGCCAATATTTCTATTTTTGAAACTCGCTTGTGAAAATATTTACTCGACAATGCTTTTTAAACATTGGATGAAATTTATATTCTTCAGATCTTTAGGTTATAAGTGACTATTCTTATACCTTTTATCATTTTTGAGAAAATAAATGTATTATTATTATTATTATTAGAACCTCATCTATCATACATTCTTTTCCGTCCCTTGGTGACCATCACCCTTAGAATTTAAATAAAAAAGCACTAAGTATGCGACACCATTAAAAAGTAATTTCATACGTACTTCACTACTTACATTTATCATGTTGGCGCCCTCTTGTGGGAGAAAGTATTATTCCACATTACAAATTATGATAATTCATTGAATAAATAATAAGAACAACCCATAAAAAATTGAAAAATTGTTCATTATATGAACAAAAAAAAAAGATTCACACCAAGTCTACATTTTTTCAAATAATATATACTCAACATGATAATTATGAATGGAAAACTTTTCAATTGTAGGTTCTGGGTGTGAAATTTTTTGAAAATGACGTTAGAGCGTTTTTCGAAAACCTTATAATTGGTGCCATGAAAGAAAGAGAAGAAAAAGGTATAGTGAGGCCTGATATGATTCACTTACTAATGGAAGCACGAAAACATTGTAAAGAAGATAAAAACAACATTGCAGAAGGTAATGAAGTGGAATTTTTATGTACCTACTGAAAATATGAAGTTTTTTTCAGAAGAAAGAAAACAATCAATTGAAATTTCCGATGAAAATATAGTAGCACAAGCTCTGCTATTTTTCTTTGCTGGATTCGACTCGGTTTCAACGATGATGTGTTTCATGGCTCATGAGTTAGCGGTCAATACAGATATACAGGAAAAACTGAAGTTGGAAGTCCATGAAACTTCTGAAACATTGAACGGAAAATTAACTTACGATGCTTTAGTCAATATGAAGTACATGGATATGGTAATTTCAGGTGAGAGAACTATAGATAATGAAATTATTGGATTATGATCATCATTAGACTCTTACTCAAGTTATGAAGAATTCAAGAAACAAAATACTCGGAGTGATAGCTCATAATACATGATAATAATTAAGAAATTCTACCAATTCTACACGCGTTTCGCTTTTATCGCTATAGCTTCATCGGTTGTAATCTACAGCTTCATTGGTTGTAATGTAAAATTAAAAAAAATATTTATGTTAGGAATAGTCTCTGTGCTTTATTTGCCTCTGTCTTTCACTCTTTCTTCATTTTCTTTATTGGATTTTGAATTAGTTTTCAAATGTCATGCTCCTTACCATTTTATCCAAGACATTTCCAAAACCAATTTGGAAATTAACTTTCGATATAGCTTCTTGCCTATACCTTTTCTATTCAAAGCATGCAAACCAGGTATGCTTGACATCCAGGTACCAAATTCAATCTAGCCGACTTGCTTTGAACAAAATCTATTCCGTCCAGCAATAACTTCAGGGCTGTCACCTTCCTCTTTTTGTTGAGTATAACTACCTCAATCTCTCCAGGAGTTGACTCAGCATCATCATTCTTCAGCCATTGGTATGACTACAAAGTACCGCGTTTGCTTTTCGAACAAGATATCTTCAGGAATCTGCTCCGTTCAGGTGGCCAGGTCGTCAGCGAAGCATATCTACGCAAGGCCTCCTTCAACACCCTGCTATACGAAACCTTATGGAAATCAACATGTCAGCCTTTCATTCTTACTATTTTGATTTTCTCATCTTCGAAATAGTTCTCGAATATGTCGACCAGATACTGTGGAATTTGTTTTTTTCAAAGTTCCTTCATCATATTACTTCAAGTAACTGAGTTGAAAACATTTCTCTCATTGATCATGATCAAAACGGTTTCCATTGCTTGTATCTTCCTAAAATTCAAATTGATGTTATAGGATAGATAACTGCAAATCTCCTCTATATCTCTTAGAATCTTTCTCTTATCAGCATTCCAAATAGTTTCTTCCTGTTATCCAGGGGGCATATCGCAATGATTACTGATACGCTTTTCATTGACTTTCGATTTTTCAAGAAGAGACTTCTGCAAACTTTCAACATTTCCACCTTCTTCTTCTCTGGAAACGTTTGTGTTCATAGTATCTTGTTGACCTCATGTATACATTTTATGGCAATCTTGAGTATTTTCTTGACAGTTTCAGGAGGTATATGATCAGAATCGAGTACTTTTTTATTCTTTAACCATTCTCCTGCTGCTTCTAGCTCAGAATAACATACAATGCAAAGTTAATGTCATTGTTTTTGTTACAATAAAATACTAGTTTCAGTGGTTGAGATGATTTTTTTGCAGAAACATTGCGAAAATGGCCAACACAGATAGGAATTGAAAGATTGTGCACAAAACCATATACCATAGAACCTATTCTACCAGAAGAGAAGCCTATTCATTTGAAGAAGGGGTCAATAATATTCATTCCTACCTACGGAATTCACCATGACCCAGAACTGTTTCCAAACCCCGAAAGTTTTGATCCTGAAAGATTCAGTGAAGCTAATAAAGCAAGTTTCAATTCTTATGCATATCAACCATTTGGTATGGGACCAAGGAATTGCATTGGATCAAGATATGCTGCAATGGAAATAAAAATAGCATTTTTCTATATTTTATTGAATTTTGCCATTGTTCCAGTCGAGAAAACCAAAATTCCTCTAGTCTTAGCGAAGAGTATGTTTCACCTAGGGGCTGAAGGTGGTTTCTGGTTGGGATTGAAACGTTTGAAGAAATGAATTATTATTTCCAAGATATTCCTTGTAATATGTATTTCAGAGATCAGGCTTTGAAAGAATAACTCATTGTATCCTAGCTTTCACACTTGGATTATTAACACATTAATAAGATGAATTCATGTTCAAATATGATTTCAACTCATTGTATATGTTATTGAAAACTAATAAAATTCGATAAAACCAGACTAACAATATTTGTACCAGCAGTTTCCGTGTTTTTGACAATGCCTGATTACCTTGTACGCAGAATAAAGTGACTCAAATTGAACAACGGTCCTTGATCCCCAGAAGTGACATGTACATTGAAACTGGGCGCGAAGAGGATTATTGCGTTTTTGGTTGATTTTTTTCGTTACACTTCTGCAACAATTTTTTTGTTGTACTAGTTGGTACGGGAATCTTATTGAATGTTCGTTATATTCATCTCTACAAAATCTCGCCTATCAGCAGTGGCGCATAAATCCCTGTGCCAAAAACCGAACTAGGTTTGTTAATGCTCGCAACAGCTGCAAACTTAGGATAAATGAAAGCAAAGAACTTCAAAATCTTATAATTAGGGATAAACATAAACTGTTTGCCAATCCCAACGGATATAGATCCTTCTGGTCGGTGGCTGAAGCTGTTATCAGAACTTTACAAAATCAACAATTCCACCCTTATACAAGCGGATGGTTCAATTGCAACAACAGCAATAGAAAAAGCAAATCTACTGGATGAACAATTTGCGTCCCACTTCAGAAGCGATTTTCTGAGAAAGGTACCACCCACTATTACCACATTATAATCCACAATACCGGAAATTACTTTTCGACAGTGTCTAGTCAGGCGAATTTTGAAACAGGTCAATATCCACAAGGCATCTAGCCCTGATGAAGTGCCCGTCATCGTACTCAAAAAGTTCGCAAATGAACTCGCACCAATATTTTGCAGACTTTCAACCTGTCCTACAAGAAAGGGGTTTTCCTTCTTGTTGAGAGATTGCTCGCGTTCAGCCTATTACCAAAAAGGGTAAGAAAATTATTCCAGTCGCTTCTCTATCAGTGATATCAAAAATCATGGAGAAGGTCGTAAACCACCATATCCTCAAATATTTGAAAGGCTTCAACATCTTGAGCGATCATCCATATGGCTTGCGAAAACAAAGATCAACAGGCGGCCTTCTATCTATGTCAATCATATTTGGAATAACGCAATCGTAAAACATGGAGATTCGAGAGCTGTTGCGCTTGATATTTCTGAGGCCTTTGACCGTGTGTAGCATGAGGGTTGGCTGGCTAAACTTTGATGCTTTGGCTTGCCGGATCTTTTTCGTGTATAGCTCTTCAGCTTCCTGAAAGAACGTTCCCTGCAAGTGGCCGTCGAAGGATATCTCTCGAAAACTTCCACCATCAACGCCGGGATTCCCCAGGGATCCATATTGTCTCCAACCGTCTTTCAATTTTATATCAACGACTCATTGGGAAAAACCAAGAATCCAATAAATTGCTTTGCTGACGACAGCACACTTGTCTCGTCATTCCATTTGAATTCCAGGACATCGGCTACTTCCTGAGAACGTTTTTCCAAATGAATTCAATCTCCAGCGCTACTTTTGCACAGGCACCGCTCTGAGAGCGCCTTAAGAATTGTCCCGTAGTGCTTATGTTTTGTCTTTAGAAAAGAAAGAAGTTTTAGTTGGATGAAACCAGAGCCCAGAAACTCCAACACCAGACTTCAGTTTTTCAATACACCATTAGTAAATCTGAGCTCATCAATTGCTGAACATCTACCTTACGGAAACGCCATTTATGGGATCGACAGGAGACACAATCCACGGAGACTTCCCGAAACGAACAGTTGCAAAGCAAAGCTTTGCTAAACGAAATTCGTCCTGTCTTTCCTTGCAGATCGAACTGCAAGGCAACAAAATAAAAACAAGACAAAGCATCCGCAATCCAACAAAAGAAAACTTGTTTCGACACTTGTTTACGTGAGGAAAGAAGGATGTGCTCACAAATGGTGGCATAATTCGTAGTCGAAAGTATAATTTCTCTTCTAGGATGATAATATTCTGCCTTAAGATGTGGCTTGCGAATTCTGGTGGCAATATCGATAATTAGCACGTTTTCCTCTGGATGGTGGCTTGAGTTCTCGTTGAAACACAAATTAGTATGAGTAAATTGAAATGAACTGTGTAACCTATTTTTTCGCCAGTTCTTCTGTAAACCAGAACATGCAGATATGGCATCATTCCTTCGTTTCGCTATTCCATGTTGAACTGAATACGGAGGTGATTGAAGTTGATGTGATGTCGAAACAGTTCGAATCCTTTTTGCTTTGGATCCAAGTCACAAAAGTTTATCAACGTAGTAAAACCAACAAATAAGTTTTATTGAGTGGTTCTGACAGCTTTTTCGTCGAAAGAAAATTTTCATGTAGATGTTTGCGACCACCAAGCCGAGAGGACTTTAGCCATTCGTTAACAGAAACAAATATTCTATTGTAAATACGTAGTGATGAGAACATGGTCAAAAAACGCTATGATGTTCTCTGCGAAAATTTTTTCGATCTGCTCTAATGACTCATCGTTATATAGTCCAGTCATTTGAGGTTTTATCTGCGGAAAATTCCTAATGAGCTGAATTTTGGTATACACCTTCATTATAGCGTTTTATTGAAGATGTGGAAAATCGACATTGATATCGTGCCGGATAAAAAAGTTATAAGGGTCAAAAGGTCACGAAAATCAGTTTTTCGGGAATATCCCCCGACCTATGGCTAGGAGGTTAGTAAAGGTCAGTATAAAAATCATTTCCCGGAGACTTCCCGAAACGATCAGTTGCAAAGCAAAGCTTTGCCAAACGAAATTCGTTCGTGTGAAATTTCAATTATTACCACCCACTTCTTCAGCAGCTCAACAGCATATTTATCGCGTCTATTATCAAATAAAAACCTGACTAGGAAAAGAAATTGATCCAGAACAGTGGGGTTGGGAGTTGAAAAATAATATATTACAACCAATAACAACTTTATTGCCACCAGCACCAGAAAATTATGAAGTGTGTGTATTTTCTATAATGTTATCAAATTTGGTACTGAAGAGCCTTAGGGCAAGTGTCTTAAGGCGAAACACCGGTGTATAACAGTTAGGGTGACAGTGTTCCATGTGAGTACAATTTATTACCATTCATTCAAAGTAGAACTCATGTGAATGATATCTGATTCTTATTCCTCCACAAATGTTCGATATACAAACTGAATAGAGAAAAGTATCTTCTGTATAATTCAGTGTTCATATAGAAGTATTTGTTTCGAAAGGATTTTTTTCTTTCGTGTAATTCAATGTTTATATGAAAGTAGCTGTTTCAGGAGGACTTTCTTTCAGTTTGTGTCTGAAAGTTACTTCTTTGCATGATCTACACATCCATGTATAGAGTTACTTATTTTCAAATTGATTAATCCTTCCTTTCTTTGGAAGATTCTCTCATCCATTTTTTTGTATCAGATGGAGTAGTAGAAAGCCCAAAAAATTAATCACTCCTCAAAATATAACCCTTTCAAATCAAAAATCATTCCTTATTCGATTATCTACAAAAAAGTGTCTTTTGCATTTTTCTCTGAAGTCAACCGTTTTTGGACTTATGCGTTGAGAAAGCGACTACATTATGATGATGCGCTCGTTTCCGCACCACCTTTGAGGTAGAATGCAAGGCGGGTTTTTTCACATGGCTTTCCCCGTAGGCATAATCCATGAACTGTAACAAAAGGTTTTTTTATTTAATGTTCAATAATTTTTTATTTATACATTGAAAATTATGGAAAAAAATTTTTGTATATAATTTTCTTTTATATTTATTCGTCGTCGATATCATCAACTTCATCGAAAGTTGCTGACAAAATATCGAGTGGACTTATTGTTGTATTTGAATCAACATCTTCATCATTTTCTTCACTAGTGGACTCTGCATTTGAGCATGTCTGACCACGACAATATCCACAAGTTTTAAAACATCTCGATCCAATTTTTTTACATCCACATTTGCCGCCACAACCTTCTGTACAATTACATAAGATTGTGTTTAGTAGATCATGGGGTGCTGGTGGCAATAAAGTTGTTATTGGTTGTAATATATTATTTTTCAACTCCCAACCCCACTGTTCTGGATCAATTTCTTTTCCTAGTCAGGTTTTTATTTGATAATAGACGCGATAAATATGCTGTTGAGCTGCTGAAGAAGTGGGTGGTAATAATTGAAATTTCACAGCTCTGTTTTGTCTTGTTAGTTCAGCAAAGCTGCAGTATCTGTAATTATCAATTGAATTTTCTGATTTTGGAGCATCGTACATTGCTAGTAGAAAATGTATTCCAGCATTGACAAAGGCATTTCAAGTGCAATTTTTTGTCGGAATATTTCTGCAGATTCGTGTTAATCGGGTCATTTTTCAAACATCTTCATGACTTTAATTTTTCCTTTCTAGGAAAGTTGTGTCACATCCGGTCATAGCATGTAGAAACAGAATATTTTTCTTGCAATGTGTATACTTGTTTAGGCTCTCAGTCGAGTATATTTTTATTTCATCATTGTTTTTCTCTGGTTTCTTAATAAAAATGGATGTAGGTTGATCAAGTATTTGTGTACGTGCTATGAGAAGTACCAATAAATATATGTCTTCGCCAATGATAATTGAAGTATTATTTATTGATTTTTCAATTGCTTTTTTTTCATATCAAATCAAATGAAAATATAGTTTATTGTCAGAAGACTGTGTATCCCATCGAGATTTGTAGGTATAAATATAAGCATAACTGATGGTATATAATAAAAACTGGCAATTATCAAAGGTTTGAATGAAACAGGTACAAATACAATGAAAATAAATATAAAATTGAATACACGTTTCAAAATGATTCATTAAAATACTCTTGCAAGCTATAATAGGGTGTCTCAGCTAGCAAATTTCTAACTGCTTTCTTGAATCGTACGTTGGTCAGATTTAGAGACCTTATATCTACTGGTAAGTAATTGAATAATTTTCCACCATTATGAAAAATGGAATCCTTGAATAATGTTGACTTAGGTATAGGAAGTAATATTGAATATGCTATGACGAGTAGCATAAGGAGAATGAACTCCGTTTTATGTTTGTGAACCAAACATACAGTTTCAAGAATAAACAGTGCAATGACGGTTGAAATCTTATTGGC